TTTTCACAATGATTTGTGAGTGAGTTCAGTTTTTATAAGGTTCTTCATGAATCAAACATGTCTCATTTGGTTAATCCACCAAGTGTGTATTAAAGCAGTAATTATATATTCTCTTACACTTTATATTGACTTGATACGTCAATGTACAATACTGTATTGTGGGTTTGTTTGATAGTTAGCAATTGATACAAATGGAAATCAAAGTTCATATCAAATGATTTGTGGTTTTGTGCTGTCTGTTGATCCTAATCTAGAATCAGTCAGAAATAATATCCTTTTGCCATTCAGAAAGCTTTGGCTTTGATCAAATTATTTGCTGAATTATCTTTTCATTGCAAGAAACGGAGCAAAACACATCTGTTTCATCAGCTCTCTTGGTGAATAAGGGTTAATAACAAACTTGAATAGACTAATTCTCTGTACACTATAACATGTACAATTGACAAGTGGTCTATACATAATATTTCATTCCATTAGCACAAAAGAATGAATGCAATCACTAGAAAGATGGACACTGAAACTTATCTATGGTAAAGAGGGTTGTGAGTTATTTCTTCACACATCTTGATTTCTCTGATTTTCTGAAAACAAACAGAAATCTCTATCTATGGTTATTATTGGTGTTTTTTCCATCCATTAATTCCAAACATCCCATATTTGGAACAGTGGGTATTAATTTAATATATCATGGTCAAAAAAAATTAGCAACTCTGTTTTGGGATGCAATTTCAGATTGGGCATTTTTTTCCGTCTACACCAGTTTCTTGGTATTTTTTGTTGTTCTCTTCCCTGTATCTGCTTTGTCATTCATTCCTCCTGTCACAACTATACATACAGTGTAATATACCCCAACAAAGATGTTTCTCATCTTCATGATGGTGTACTTATAATCGAGAATCACCAATCATTCGCCTGGATGATAGGCATACCAGACAGTAGGTCACCTCAGAATGGAACACTAACACACCTGGATGTCTTTCCTCGATTCCACCCAACTACACTAATATTATACACAGTTGCTAATGAACCAATTTCTTGTGGGACAACAAAGGAGAATGGTCTTTTTTGACATAGTGACGTACTCACCTCTTCCCAAATCGAAGTCCTACATGCCAAACAAAAACAAACTCTCTTTTGTTGAGAATAAGGCAAGTCCTGTTCACCATTTCTGTTTCCATTTGACTTTGGTTCTGGTTCACTGTGTCTGTCACATATAGGAAGAAACTAATTAATGATTCATAATTGAATTTTTATAGCAAGAGCAATTTAGACATTTTGCATATGTGTGTTAACACAACTAGTTTGGCAATAACTGAATATGAGTTAAAAAACCACCAATATGCCCAACCCTATAATCAAGACATGTTCTTAGTACTGAGGAAGCTTTACCCTGATATTCACCAGAAAGTTTTAGTCAATTTATATTCAGCCCTGCCAGCCATCTCTCTGCAAGTTGGAGGAATTACTGTTGGGCTTAAATATAATCAGCCTTTGATGTTTGTTAAAGGACAAGAAATATTAAAATTTGAAATGAAATCAGCATTGCTCAAATTGAACAGAAACAATGTAGCAGGATCAAACAGAATTGAAACAGATGCTTTGTAACTTTCAACATTGACAAGATTACAAACATAGTAAATGAAATATACAGGAGTGCTGATATACTGGAAAACCCAAGTAAATTCATTTTCATAGCTCTGCCTAAGAAGCCAGCTGCAAACAAATGTGAACTACCCTGGATAATCAGCCTAATGAGCCATATAAAACTTATCCAAGTTCTGTTGAATAGAGTGTGGAGAAGAATTAGACTGGAAATAGGACAAGAACAGTGCAGTTTCATTAAAGACACTGGAACAAGGAATGCAATATTTATACTCAAAATAATACCAAAAAGAGCAATAAATAGACAAAAGGATATATACCTATATTTTATAGATTATGCAATAGCATTTGATAAAGTACACCACAAAGATTTGTTGGATCATCTAGGTAACCTTGATTTATTTGGGAAGGATATTAGAATAATCCAGAACCTATACTAACAGCAAACAGCCTACATACAGATAGAAAATGAATTCAGTAAAATATACAGAAATATAAAGGGGTGTAAGACAAGGATGTCTTCTCACCAAACCTATTCAACCTATACAGTTAGGTGATTCTGAGAGAATTAGAAGTCCTACCAGAATTCATTATTGGCAGCCACAATTTTAACAACATAAGATACACAGATGGCACAGTGTTGATAGCAGACAAAAAAAAAAATTTATAAGAACTCTTACAGAAAGTAATGAAGGAAAATGAGAAGAAACAAATAAACATCAGTTGCAAGAAGACAGAATGTATGGTTGTCAGCAAAAGGAACAGACCAATTACAATGTAAATTACAAATTGGAGGGAGTAAAAGAAAGCGAGAAGAAAGGACTAACCATCATTTGCAAGAAGACAGAATGTATGGTTGTCAGCAAGAGGGACAGCCCAACATACAGACATGTCATCACTTCCCTCTGTCTTTTCTACAAATACTTTCATGGTAACTGCTCAAGCTAATTTTGCTGGTTCCAAACTGCATGAATATAAGTGTGCTACTAGGTTGGCATCTCAGTCCCAACCTTTCACTGTCGAAACTGTTAAATGTAGCTGTCTCTTCTACTCCAATAGCTTCATGTCTTGCACTTCCTGTCCATGGAACTCCCTTCCTATTACTCGCTTCTCTGATAGCTATAATCTTCAATTATTCAAATGCAGTGTCAATCGACATCTTCAGATGCCTTGACCTAATTCCCCATCCTCCGCTTCGTCCTTTCCTCTATCATGCCTCTTTACTCTTGCTCCCAATCTCTGTAACCCTTTGTGTGCTAGTGGCACTCTTGTCTTACTTGGGGTGAAATACTTAAAAAAAACAAACAAACAAAAAATACAAATTGGAGGGAGTAAAAGAAAGTGAGATGAAAGTACTATCATTTCTAAGAAGACGGAATGTATGGTTGTCAGCAAAAGGAACTGCCCAACATGTGAATTACAAATTGGAAATACTAACATCAAACAAGTACAAAAAATTAAATATCTGGGATGGAATGTGTGACACAGAAATCTGAAGGTGCTTTGGGATAGCCAAAGGTGCCTTCTAAAAGCTAAGCAAAGTATTAAGAAACAGAAAAATTTCATGAGAAACAAAGAAAAGAGTACTTTTTTACATAATATCAATCCTCCTATATGACAGTGAATGCTGGGCAATCTACTGGCTGATGAAGAAGAGACTTGAAACAACAGAAATATGGTTTTATAGAAGGGTGCTGAGCAAAAATGAGATTTTAGAGAAAATAGAAACAAAAAGGACATTTAACATCAACAAAAGAGAAATTTCTTGGGCATATGAATAGGAAAGAGAGCTTGGAAAATTTGTTATTGACAGGCAATCTTGAAGCAAGAAGTTCTAAGGAAAATGGCACATAACCTACCTACCTACCGAGCTTGTGTAAATAAGTAAATGGTTTAGGAGTGATAGCAAAAAGGTAAAATTTACTAATAGCTACAAATGACAGGAAATTTGGAGTGCCATGGTTGCTAATGTTCTGAAGAGACATGGCACATAGAAGGTCCTTGTATTATTTTGTTTCTTTTTTGTTTCTTATTGTTGTTTCTTTTTTGTTTTCTTTTGTTGTTGTTTTTTTTAGAACTCTGAGCATTTCTTGTTCCAGGTTGAGATTATTTAATGAGTGAGAATCTATAAACTAGTTAAGCTGCTTTTTTGTTAATCTCCCGTATTTCAATATTGCCCACTTCTGGTAATGTGAAACCTTTTTTTGTTATCCCTCAATTTTGTTTTTGTTCCCCCCCTCATTGTTTTAATATGTTTGTTTTAATCACTTTCATTAAATTCTGTACACCTGTAAAGATATTTAATACTAGATTTTCTGGTGAACGTTAATGGATTAAATTTGCTACTATTTATACTTGGACCATGTTCCCAATCAGGAGAGAGAAATGATTTGTGTCTTCAAGGAATGCTGGTGAATAAGATATCTATCTGAAATAAAAGCTGTCAAGAGAAAGAGACATTCTGTAATTCTGACTACTGCAAAAAGCAAAAAACATTCAGTCACCTTTTTTCAATTTATTCTCTGTTTATGACATTCATAATATATTTCCTGGTAAAAATGAAAGTTATAAAGCTTATAAAGTTATTTTTCTTGTTAAAATTATGATTTTAAAAAAAGCAGACATCTGCCAAAAGGTTTCCTGCTATCTACGCAAGGTTGTGTAACATTGTGTTGGAATGGCTCTGCAATCTTTACAATTGCTGATACATTTGAGCAGCATGCCTCTGTACCAAATATTATATGAAGCTTAATAAATCTGGTACTTACATTCTTTGTCAGGCTTATTGGTGAATATGCTTCAGGTCAAAGACAGGGATTTTTTTGATTGTCATGCACTTTTTAAAGTCAGTCAAATGTCTGTCCAAGATGAACAACATCCAGCGTCAACAAAAAATCCTTCTCACTCATTAGAGGAACCCCTCTCTGATTGATCAGTAGACCAGTTGCCATCCAAGGCTATAGAACCCGATCTGTGCTGCTATTTACCCAAAGTTGGGAGAGAGGAAGAATAGTCGTACCTTTCCCAAGGGTATTAGCATGTAAGTGAATCTAATGGATTCAACTGAAATTCAAACTCAGCTTTCCGATTCCTCAATCAGAGCCGCTATCCATTACTCCACCGAGCATCTTATTGTTGAATAATCCATCTCATGATTGGGATTGGCCATGGATTCTTTCAGGAGATCATCAATCCGAACATGCATCCGGTTGCTTTGAAGTTTGTCAGTTTCTCTTGACATTTTGCCAAAAGCAATTCTATTTTGACGTGTACCTTGAACGTAATGAGAGAATGGTGGCCAGATTTAAATAAATTACTTAATGGCTATTTTTTTTTTAATTCTGGTTTGAGATCTTTCTGATACTACTTCATATCTGACGGTTTCTATTTTATTGCAGATTGGTGTCCAGAAAGCTTATCCAATGACCAAAAAGTTTGAAGCTCTACTGAATTCAAATTTTCCAGAGAACAAAGAGATGAAAGATAAAGAAAGCAGTCAGGTATGTGTCTGCCATCTAAGTATTTGGCAAAAAATGTTACAAATTTAGAAAAGAGATAATTTTTTTCTTCTTTCTTTTAGTCATATCTCCTTTAAAAAATCTCCTGTCTAGCAAAAGACAAGTCAAAATATAAAAAGGTTGATAGCAAGTGGTAGACATCAAGATTGTCTGTAGCTTTTATTGTACTGATCAGGTAGAGTTAACATGATGACCTATTCTCAAAGTTACAATTATTTTTTCTCAGATATCCCCGAAGCTCTTAGCATAAAGGCCATCAAATATTCCCTGTTTATTCTTTTTCCTCACCATTATTTTTCCAGATTGCAAATAATTTGTACATAAACTGCATTAGATGTTTTATTTGCCTCTGAAAAACTTGCTCCTCTAGGATAGAACAGTTGTTCCCAAACATTTTTGGAAATGAAAATTTGTTCAAACCTCACCAAATTTTATGTGATAAGTACATTTAAAAATAAACAACAGAGAGAGAGAGTTAAAGGAAGATAACCACAGATTCAAAGTCAGAACATTATTATTGATAACTCTCTTCTCCAATTTGCAGACCCTAGTTATTCTTAATACTTGATATAATGCAAAGATATCACAATAATAAAACTGATTAATAATTTTTTATAAGTATTTATACTAGGATCCATACATGCAATTACAAGTAATACATAATATTTAAAATTTTGAAATCCTATTTTTCTTTGGCATATGAATTTTTTGAAACTGTGTTCCTAAATCTTCGATTGACTTTCAATCATTCCACCTCACCTGCTGTTCTCTTCCACCACACATATTAGGCACGTCACACTGTCTGGGAAGCACTGGAATAGATAATCATAAACAAATTCTTCTATACTCAAAGATCGTAAGCCTTGTTTTCATTTCAAACCCTGCTATTAATAATTTCTTTCTGAATTTCCATGATTAGGAGTTCTCATTATTTACATTGTTTAACTTTCTGATTAGTGTCTTTGTGTTGTTATTGTCACAATGTTTCGGCCATTATCAATTATTGAGGAATCGGAGAGCCAAGTTCAAATTTGTGTCGTGTTTATTATATTCCATGCTAATACCTTTATGAAAGGTATGAATACCACTCTTCTCCCCTCACAGCTATGGTTAAATAGCAAGGCAGACTGGGTCTTATAGCCTCGGGTGGTGAATGCTGAATTCAAAAGGTTGTCTGAGGTACAGACTGAGGATGACCCACACCATATTCCGTGGACTTTGGCTGTCAGTCAAAAGCTTGGAGAGGAAATGGATGCTACAAAGCTATCTGAGAGTTCACTGAAAAGATTATGAAGAGAAAAAGCTAAGATAACACCATGTTGGGTTAACAGATCAGACCGGAGGAAGTTGTTTATTTCTTCTGTCCTCAGGTTCCCCAAGACGATTGAAGCAGTCAAGTGACTGATAATGATGATTATCAATTATTATTCAATTTTAACTAGTATTTCTTTGCTGTTTAAATTTCTGGGATGTTGACTTATCAATTTTGTTGTTATTATCATGTTTTAGTTGTTGGTGTAGAAATGGAAGGCATGGATTACCCCAGAAGAAGTGTCCTAGGTATGACGATAAACTACATCTGGCAACAATCAGGAGGTTTTGAGGATCATGGAATCACCACTTAATTGCTGTTGTTCTCAGGTCAACTCCAGCCTGAAGTGGAAGCACCTGTTAGGGTCCCAACTATGAGGAGGAAATAGTTAATCCCCAAACTGGGGCCAAAAACTATGAAAGCATAAAAATACATTTTCATAGTAAAAAAATTACACCAATTTTTTTATTTTTTTTTGTAGAAAAAAATATTACCAGTAATACATTTTTGTAAAAGGAATCACTAATGCACCCAAGAAAATTAAATTTTGACATTAAATGACCCATAAGGAGTTGATATGCCTTTAAAAAAAACAATATAACAAAAGAAACAAAGTTGGTTGCATTCAATTTGATGGTAATAATATTAGATCTAAGCTACCTTACCACTGGACAAAAATGTAAATATGCATAGCAGGATAACATGTAAACCTCTTTGATCTCTTTCTTGCATATTACCCTGAAAAATTCTGATGTACCACTTTATAGGACAATCTTTCTGTACACCAAAGCTAATTGAGACCACTTCAGATCCTATGTTGCAGAAGCTCCTCTTTCAGGCTTTTCCAAGAATAGAGCCTTCAGAACTGATTCCTTTACCTCTGAATGAATGACAATTTCATCCCCAAGAAAAAATACAAACTGAAACCGAATAGCAGTATATAGCAAATAGAATTTGCTTCCAGCCAACAGCTTGTTGCAAACGCTACTACTATCACTGTCACAGAGAACGGTGTAGTGTAACTCTTTTGGCGTTCTAGAACTGCTCACAACCATTGCAGGAAAGTTCTAGAAAAGACAAAAACATCTATGCACAGTTAGTCCAAACCGAAGTTGAAAACAAAATACTTGGTTCCTGTTAGTTCTGGAAAATCTTGAATAAAATTCTCAATAGAGGTAAAATGTGGCCTTGTGGGTGATGAACTATTTTCCACAGATGGAAAGTCACGAACCTCTCACTACTTTATCGCTATTTCCATGACTTGTTCTGATGAGCTATATTCCTTGGTCCCACCAGCCCTGACATTTGAAAGTTGGACCCACCATACCATGTACACAAGAACAAATCATGTGCATTCCTTTTGTATTCTATTAGTAAGAATTAAGTTCCATTCAGACAGCTTTTTCCCAAGAACTTCTGCTTTGTGGAACAAACTCCAGACAGGATGTTTTTTTATTCACTACAATTTTGACCACTTCAAGTTTAAGGCTATCTTTCCTACAAAACCTCATGAATTTCACTTCTTACTTTTACTTATGATCATACAGCACCACACAGTAACCCTCTGTCTTGAGTGGCTCTTAGGCCTTGTATTGGATGAATATTAATAAAAAAAATGTATTTGCTGAATGCCATGCTCAGGAAAGTTGTGTGCATACAAGCAACTAATTCATAGCAAGAAGAGTGTTTTCCAACTAAAGACGCATGTGTATGCAAAATACATGTTGATATTGAACAGGAAAGAAAAGCTATGAAAGCAAAATAAAAAAAAAAAATGTCACTCTGTGCACAGGGGATCTGAACATCGCATCTGGCTCACAGAACAAATCTCCCAAAAACATAAAATATAAACGCCAGAGGCAGTCATGAACATTGCACTAAAGCAAAAGCATTACACAAATGCTGAGCCATGTACCACTGCATCTTAATTGCTTAAAAGGAGTTCACAGGCCATTTACCAGTGGCCACTTAGTTACTCTTCAAAGCCATCTGACCCCTGTACATAATCAATTGTCCCATCTCCCAGCTTCTCTTGCCCACAAGAGACATTCTACCATGATCCGTTCTACTGTCAATATAGATCATTTTATTTTAACATATTTTGTCTCTTTTTCTTTCTTAGTAGAAATGCCTTGTTCTTTTTGTTTGTTAATCTTGCAACCATATGCAGTATATAAGAAAAACTAAGTTATAATAATATTCCAGCTATTAATGTTTTCAACAAGAATTAAGCTTAAAGAATGACCTATAAAATGATATTGTTTTTATGATAAAGTACAGATGCATTAACTTTAAATGTTCACGTCAAAGTCATTAATACTTCCATGTTGTTCTATAAAGATTCACTGATATTTAAAAAAACATAGAATAATGGCTTTTGTCTATATATTTTCGAGATAAAATTGCCTTTTGACTTGAAAACAAAATCCTGTGATGGATAATTGTGTACATGGCGATAAAGGAATGTCTGTGATGTGTACTACAATGGAAAGCATATTAACTGTTGGAAATTACAGTCAATTTCATTGATCTTGCTTAAGATAGGAAATGTAAAGATAAAAGGTGTCTCATAGAATATAAAATATTCTTTAAGGAATTAATGAAATATAGAGTTAAATATAGAGTTAAATAGAATATGTAAAATGTTTCTTGAAATAACTGGCAGACCTTGCTTTTCAACAAGAGCTATTTTAGCTGATGTTGAAATTTTGCAGATATCCTCATACATAATTTTATTTAAAAGTTTTCGTTATGGGCAACTGCTCATGTAGACATTATGCTACTCTACATCTTGATTCAGCAGTACTTGCAAATATTAAAGAAATTTTTCTTTTTTTTTAAATAGTAAAGAATTTTTTTAAATTTTTTTTTTCTGAAATAGCAAATAAATATTTATCTTTTTTTTTTTTTTGAAATAGCCAAGAAATTTTTTTTTTTGAAGTAGCATAGAAATATTTTCTTTTTTTTTTTTTTGAAATAGCAAAGAAATGTTTTCTTTTTTTTTGTAATAACAAAGAAATATTTTTTTTTTTTGTAATAACAAAGAAATATTTTCTTTTTTTTTTTTTTTTTGTAATAGCTACAAAATATTTTTTTTTTTTTTTTTTTTTGAAATAGCCAAGAAATTTTTTCTTTTTTTTTCTTTTTGAAATAGCCAAGAAATATTTTCTTCTTTTTTTAAATAGCCAAGAAATATTTTCTTTCCTTTTTTTGAAATAGCCAAGAAATATTTTCTCGTTGTTAAACAGCAAGCAACAACTTAAAGAAACATTTTTCTTGCAAGTCAGATTTAGCAGTGTTGAAGTTGGAGGTATTTTGTTAGATTTGATTGTGAAATAAATAAAACTTCAATGATATCAACAGCAAAGTACATTTTATTAACTTTAGTGAAACTCCTGTAGATAGCTGTACTGCAAATGAACTCCTTCTCTTCGACATGGCTTTTTCTTGATATGTTGAGGGCAGCACATTATAATGAAATCTACTGAAGCTTTGTCAGAAATGGGCCTTCATTTATAGTCATGTGTAAGTGGAGTAATGAGTTCAATCCTCATTAGGTGCATCTATGATTACATTTGTTTATTCTCCCACCCACCTTATTGTGAGTTGGGGTGTTATGCTCTATGTCTAGAACTTTCTCCTTATAATTGGAATACAAAGGAAATGTAGGTATGAATGACATCAAAATGTCCGTGAACATAGTATAGCAACTCCTAGCTGTAAAGATCTGAACTGGTAGAACATTTGCCATGGAAATAGTGCTAGATTATCGATGGGCTTGTGACATTGTATCTGTGAGGATAGTGGTTGCAGATTGGTAAATAAGCAATCCCTTACAAAAATGGTGTGGTCAATTCCACATTGCTTGAAAGCCTCACTGTCTTCTTTTCCCAGTTTGGAAACAATACATACGTTGCTGGTGATATCTTAAAATATTTCACATCCTGACCAAATGAAAGTGTAAACAGGACAAACTAAAACACCTACCAGAGAACAACTTATGACAAACCAGTAAAACACTGTGGGACCCACTTGTGAAATAACATCCACCATTTTCAACTACTAATCAAATGCCCATTCTATGGACGTAACACAAGGCTCAAGATCCACTCAAGGTAGAGGGTTAATGAATGAAGGGTGTGATTTGAATGTAAGGAGTTAGAAGGAAGTGAAGATTATGAGGATAAGGAGGATAGGTAAAAATTGACCCTTGACTTGAAGAGGTTAACATTTCAGTGTTCAGGGTCAGCAGCTACGCAGGAGTATTAGTTCTTGGTAAAAAAAAAAAACTCTGTTGAACTTCCTCCTTACAACTGGAATACAAAGGAAAAGTCGGTAAGTCAACTCGGTGAACATAGTATGGCAAGTCCTAGCTGTAAAGATCTGAGCTGGTGGAACAGTTGCCATGGAAATAGTGCTAGATTATTGATGGGCTTGTAACATTGTGGAGAAAGAGGTTTCAAGGCGGTAAATAAGGAATCCCCTACAAAACCATGTAAACAATTTTGAACTCTATCAAGGTTGAAAAGTGAAGATTGAACAGCTCCAGCCCAAATATGGCAGCAGTACTGAACTGTTAGGTAATATCAGTCCTATGCCAGTGAATGCTGAACAATTTCCTCACAGATGAAGAGGAGACTTGAAACAATAGAAATGTGGTTCTACAGGAGGATGCTGAGAATACCATGCACTGAACATGTGAGCAACAATGAGGTTTTAAAGAAAATGGGAGCAAAAAGGACACAGATTTAGAAAAGAGAATTGAAATTTCTAGGGAATACATGAGGAAAGAGGACTTAGAGAATTTGACACTGACAGGACATATTGAAAGCAAGAGGAACAGTAAAACAGCCTATAAACTACTTAATGAGTAAATGGAGGGCAAAAAGAGTTTAGAAGAAATAGCAAAAAAACAAAATTTACTAAGAGCTACAAATGGTAGGAAATTGGGGAGAGCCATGATTGGCCACATCCTGAAGGGACATGGCACATAAAAGATGACAACTTCATTTTTAATCTAATTTGACTCTTGTAAAGATAAAGCAAGGCAGAAAGAAATCAGAAATTTGTTTACCAAAAATGGAATTTATCTTCATCTGAAAATCAAGAGATCTTTTCTTTTTAATAAAAATGTAGGAGGAAAAAAAATGTTAAAAATTATTGAATAAATAATCTTTCATTCTGTTTTTTTCTCTCCTCCTAGAATCAAGAGAGCAAACCTATTTTACAACAGGAACTTTTGTTAGATTCTGATGAGGAATCAGAAAAAGAAGTGGCCATTTTGAAAAAACAGCTATTATCTGAAGAATCTGCAGATGGTAAGCATACGATTTTGAAATTACTATATTTATTCCCTGTTCACATATAGAATGTTGAAGCTACTGAGATAGATATATATATATATATATATATATATATATATATATATATATATATATATATATACACACACACACACACACGTGGATAGATTGCACACTTCATTTTGATATGTCAAATAGGGTATTTGTGTTTGACTCACAGATAGGTTACACTATAATCTGGGGAGTTACATGGCCTCCCAGCTTTTTTTGAACAAAAATATAACTAATATTTGTTAAATAATATTTCAGAAACTCCAAATTCTCTTTCTGCAGATCTGTTTCCATGTTCTTCTACATAATCCACCACTTTCAACTTAAAACCTACTTCATAACTCTTTCTCTTACTCATGATCAGGGTTTGTAATTTATTAAATTTGTTAAACTACTGGTACCAGTAAAAATCAGGGTGAATTGAGTTTTTGTATACCGGTAAATCACTAATAACTATAAGTGAAATTGTGATTGGCTATAATAGTGTATTATTTATTTATCGAGTATGAGGCTGCTCTGCTTAGATGAAAATGTGGATAATGGTAATTGCTTCAGTCCTAAAATCACTTGAAAATGATAATCCTTTGTCATAAATTCGATAATAAATGGTAAATATGAGCAGTGCTGATCCAGCACTTTTATTTGATGTGTGATCCGATGCTGTTGGATGAGGCAATTGCATAAAATTGCAATATCTGGAAAAAATCATTTGCTTCTTTACTCTTGCTTATACTCAAGACCAGGGTACTCGCCTGAACTTCTGATATGCCACAGTCTACTTCAGATTCTCTATGATGTCCAGTGGGTAAGTTGCATCTGATTTTTTAGTGAAAAAACTGTTCTGGGTAAGATGATAAACTACACCCAACAGCAAGACCTCTGATCAGGAGGCTTTGAGGAGCATGGAACCACCTCTTAATTGCTGATGTTCCCAGGTCCTCCCTGACACGGGATGGTAGCACCTGTTAGGGTCACAAGTATGGGCAAATAGTTAACCCCCAAACTGGGATCAAAACACTATGAAAGTGTAAAAATAGGATTTAATACAGCAATACATTTTTGTAAAAAATCACCAGCAATAAATTTTTGAAAAAAAAAAAAAAAATATTGCCGGCAATAAAAATCTTATCAGCATTAAATAACCTATTGAGCTTGATATGCCATAAAACAAACCAAACCAAACCTTGGTGATAAAAGTGCAACCTCTTCTTGAGTATATATGGTAGCTTGATAAAATTTTTCAGCATTGTATTTTACTAAATGTTTTATTCATATAAATTCATTATTCAGTCATCAAAGTATCTTCTCTCTTTATTCAGACCTTCAGCTCAACAGATCCAGTTTTAATTTAGTAATTTCTTACAGAAATGGGGTGAAGGAGTGCCATTCAGGCCTGAATGTTATCAACCTTTTGATAATTTCATTAATTTTTTTTTTGATCAAGTTCACCCCAAATAAGGCAGTAAAACCACTAAGACACAAGGGTTACTTGGTGTGGAAGAGTTAAAAACAGAAACATTACTAAGGAACGAGAACAGAAGAAGAGTAATCCAGAGGACAGTAGATAGCGTTTGACATTGCATTTAAATTTTTGAAGATTAAAAGTGACTGGAAGGGAGTTTGACAAGTGAGAAGTATGAGAAAAGAAACTGTTAGTATAGAATATATGGTTACATCTCGCATATTCAACTCGACCTCATTGCCAGTTTAGTCCTGTGCTTAAATTCAAAAAGTCCAGGTACCGTAGTGAAGAACTCATCCGAACAATTACCAGAAAAAAGTATTTATAGAAAAGGTACAGAGGCAACTTTACTCTGGTGGGAAAGTAACTGAAGCCAAGATGCCAGATCAGGACCAATAATATTGCTGATTCTTTTATCAAGGAGCTCCAGATAAATAGCAGGAGCACTGAATGATATGTGGTAGCAATAATGTAAGCATGGGCAAATTGTAGACTTATAGATATGTAAGATAAATTCTGGAGTGAGTAATTGTCTGGCACAAGCCAGTGAATAGATAATTAAATAAAATAATGTGGGAAGTGCAAAATTTTATTAGAGCTTTAAAAATGATCATTTTAAAAGTCTATATTCATATAATATATATAAGTACAGGCTGTCCCCCCAAATTTGACGTCATTTTAAAAGCAATTATCTTGAAAACTACTAAGTCTAGTTCAATGAAATTGAACAGTTTAGGTGTTGAACATCATAAATTCATTACGGGACTGATTTCTTGAGTGTTTAATATGTGCACTGCCTGTGACATGGCACATGTCAAGTCGGAAGTTAAGTTCTTACCAAAACACGCTGATGTTGATGATGGTCTACCAGATCCTTTAACCCTGCATAAGGAGCTTTCCTCTTTAAATTTTTGGTAACAAGTCCAAATTTGTTTGCCAGTTGGTGAAGCTTTTCCAAATTTTGCATTGAAGGCAGGCTGCAGAGTCTTTGGTGACTGTGTGCGAGCATATTCCAAGATGCAAAAATGGCTTCCCTTTGGGAGAGAACGACATAGCTCAACCTGAAAACAGAACAAAAATAAAACATTAAATATAAAATCTTGGTCTGTTTCTATACATTCTGTGAAAATTTGAGGTTATTTCGACATTGCCAAAATTATTGGCCTGCAAAAATTACGTCAAATTTTTTGGGACACCCTGTATATTAAAACAGGAAGAGCAAGGATATGAAAAAAAATTTGAAAAGGTGAAAAAAAAAAAAATAGAAAAAAAGCAGTGTTTTCCAATTCATGTCTGTTGAAAGATTATATTGAATCAATTGTTTTGAAAGTTGACTCACTGTGTGATGCTAAACTAGTCTTCTTGCCAGAATCTATCTTACATATTTATAAGTTGACCATTCATCTGTGCTTTAGATTTTACTTTTTGATGTTTCTTTTTCATTTTTCTTTTTCTTTGGTGTGCATATATTTTTCAGTCCTATGATAGAGCTCTGAGTTTACAACCATATCACGTTGGAACTCTGGTTCAATCACCAAAGTTAAACAATGTTAAGCTTAGTCAATACCTAGATGGGTAACCACATAGAAATATCAGGTGCTGTAAGCTTGAATGTGTGGTGCAGTGACAGATAACAGCTTGAAATGAGAAATTTGAGAGCAGAGTTTGAATTCCAGTCAAGTTTATTGCATTGACTTGCATGCAAATACTCTCGAGAAAGGTATGAACCTATCTCTTCCTCCCCAGCTATGAGTTAAATAGCAGGACAGACTACTATCTATAGTCTTGGTTGGTAGCCAGTCTACTGCAGGAATTCTTCTGCCAAGCCAATCATGAATAAAAGAGACCTGAATGTCCAATCATGTATGGCAACTAAAAGATAGAGCCCTGACAAGAGAGGAATAAGAACTTTTTTCTTTGTTTTCACTTTATATATTTTGTACATATTTTCGTGTTTTTTGGGACCATATTGTTTTTTTTTTTTTTTTTTCTTTTAACTTGTTTTTGGATAGGAGCTTGTTTTTTGGGGGGGACTTTTGGGCTTTTCTTTTGTATCTTTTTGTTTCTTTTGCTCTTCACTTTGTTTTTTGTACTCCTTTTTTGTTTACTCTTCTTTGTTTTTTATTTTAGTACTCCTTTTTTGTATTTTTTTATTGTACTTCTTTTTTGTTTTTTGATTTACCTCTTTATTATAACCATAACATTTTTATCCGTTGTTTAATTTTAATGTGTCTGTTTTGTGGCTATTTTTGAATTTTATACCACTAGTAAAATATTGCTAAAACTTCATAGTGACGTTGTTCAGTTATGAAATTCATCATCTGACCCTGTTGAACCCTTCAGCTCAACTGTGTATTTCACCATAAAAGAACATTTTCTGTTTTAATGCAGTGACTTCTTTGGCTATTGTCTTTGTTTTGAACTTGATGGAACTACAGTTCAGATGAGGAGTGGAGTGTTGTACAGAAGTGATATTCTGAAGGGACAGGTCTAAAAACTATAAAAATCTTGTGTTTAAAAAATCCGCATCAATACTCTATGATTGTTTATTTACTTTCTCACATTTACAACATGAAAACTGACAGGGTTGTGCAACTCATCAAATCTTTGCCCAGAAAAAGTAATTTTCTCTTTCAGTATATCATTCAAATGAGCCATTTGCTCACTGCTGCATTGGTGCAGTAAAATTTTCTCTGTTTCATCAACTGATAATAGAGAATCCTTTTGAATCATAAATCACACCAGAAAGGAAGGATATTATTTAATAGATTACATTTGACATATTTGACTGTCTTGGATCTGGTTACACTTTACCTTGGCTTCCCATAATAAGTCCATTTTCCAACATTAGTGACTCTTGTGTAACCATGACAGGCAAGAAGAGAAAAACTTGTGGGTGTTTTCTACAGGAATTCAGTTCTGCAAGAAATAATCATTTTGTTTTTCATACTACTATTGAATAAAGACATCTAGATCTTGAATATGAAAAAAGATTTTTTTTTCAATTTTGAGAGGAGGCTGTGTATACTATGTGAACTCATTGTAAATTGCTCCCCCTACAAAAGAAGAAATAAATGAATAAATGCTCTTCTTTTATGTGCCATGTCCTTTCACTCATGACCTCCACATCTTCCTATCTCTTGTAGCTCTTAAAAAGTTTCTTTTCTTAGTGTATGACAGTTGTCTTATTGGACAATCAATAAAGAATTGTTTGTTCTTTAAATGATTAAGAGTTCTCTAACATTGTATGCAAAATAATACTAAGAACATTTACATCATTCCAACTATTTTCATCATTGTCCTGGAGCCATCCAAGAATACAACTTGAAAATTTTAAATCAGCCCAAAATCAAAATAATATTTTTTTAACTTTATCATTTATAGTTGTTAGTAGCATAATAAAAAACATTAAAATGTTTTAATAAATTTAAAAAATCCTAAAATATAAAAGTGTTGTATTCTCCTAACCCATCGTTCTGGTGGTCTTTTGGTCACTGTGCCAATTGATACAATATTGTATCTTCTATCAGACAGTGATTGCTAGTTCTTTTGATTCAGAGATAAAAGAACTTGAACAAATGGAATTTTATACTTAACTATTTTATTTACATTGACATATACATCTCTAACTAGCCAGTGGGGTCACCCTCTCCCTCTCTTGAGAAGCCACTTCCCAGGCACAAAGGAAACAAATCTACCTTGTATGACAGTTTAGGCTTGACTCCTGAAAAACCATTCTCTATCATTCCGACGTGAGTTCAGCCAATCCATTTTGACTTCCTTTATTTTGTTTTGTATCTGACTTCAAAGGTCAAACTGAGAAGCTTACTGGGTAAGACAATAAACATCCATGTCCTGGGTAGGATGATAAACTATGTCCAACAGCAAGGCTTTGATCAGGAGGTTTTGAGGAGTGTGGAACCACCTCTTAATTGCTGTTGTTCCCAGGTTCACCCTGACCCAGGGTGGTAACACCTGTTAGGGTCCCAGCTATGGGCAAATAGTTAACTCCTACCAAAAGGGGTCCAAACTCTAATAAAGTGTAAAAAATAGATTTTAATACCAACAATAAATATTTTGTGGATAAATTATTACCAGCAATACATTTTTGAAGAAAATAAATATTACTAGCAATACATTTTTGAAGGAAAAAAAATATTACCAGCAATAAAAAATCTTGTCAGCATTAAATAACCCACTGAGGTTGATATGTCGTAAAACAAAACAAACCAATCAAACTGAGGAAGTCAGAGCAGAGATACGCTTGTCTAAAAAATAATTGCTAAACCGTTGTGTAACAAAAGTACTGAAACAAATTACTTAATTTTTACTATAATTTTTATGAAAATCAGTATTTTATTTTAATTTAAACATTTTGTTTAAATCACCTTGAATAAATTTACACAGAAATGTTCCTATTAATTGCTTTTCAATTTAATTAATTTAAGAATTGTGCTCTGTACATTCATTTTCTATATAATCAATATTAATGCATTTCAGAGATTCACAAACAAGAATTTTTGAAGTTTATCAAAAAAATTTCAACTACAACTACCTACTTTGCATTGTGACTAAATCTTCCATGTTTATTATTTTTAAGATTCTCCCTTGTATTTTCAATTTAGTTTATAAGCCAAAAAACATAATGCACAAATATTATTTGTTAATGGTTCATTCAAGATTTTTATCCAAAAATAGACAAAAAAAAACCTTTTTACTTGTTTTGTTTATAAAATCAAAATTAATTGAATAAAAAAAAATTTATTCTTACATAAATATCCTCATGTTTTTTTCATTTAGAGATAAATAATATGACTATCTAAATTTAACCTTCATTTTTCATTCAGATTTTATTCACCAGTTTAAAAAGAAGTCCTTAATTTTTTTTTCTGTGTGGATGTGTTTGCATGCTCCATTTATTAAAAACCTGCCACAATTTATAAAAATTTTTTTTTTTAAGAAATTAGTTACTTTTAGAATTAATATAATAGAATTTTAATTAAAAATGTTGTATTATCCCAGTATCATCTGAAACTTATAATATCATTCCTGGGACAATGTTAATCTTCATTTCTGCACTTTGTAAAATAACTATATATACTTTTCAAGCTTCATTCAGAGGACAGAAATATTTTGCTTTATTGATGTTGTGACCATATTGGTTTTGCTGATCTATTTGCCAACCTTTTGGTGTATAATTCATAAGAAAATGGGGTTTTCTTTTCCTTTTACATGAACTTATAGCCACATCATGCCGAAATACCAATGTTGAGAAAATTAGAAATAGATTAAGATATGAATGTGTCATCTAACCAGACTTATTCAACCTATATAGTAAGGTGATTCTAAGAGAATTAGAAGTCCTGCCAGAATTCATTATTGGTGGCCACAATCTTAACAATATTAGATAAGCAGATGACACAGTGTTGATAGCAGACACGGAAAGAAAATATAAATGCACCTAGTGAAGGAAAGTGAGAAGAAAGGAGTAAACATAAACTGCAAGAAAACAATATGTGGTTGTAAGGATGAGCCCAAAATACAGATTACAAATCTGAGATACCAAAATCAAATAAGTATAAAAATTTAAATATCTAGGAAGTTTTCTAACAAAGGACGGAAAAGTGCAACACTGAAATCTGAAGGCACATTGGGATAACCAAAGATGCCTTCCAAAAGCTAAGCAGAGTATCAAGAGACAGAAAAACTTCATTAGAAACAAAGGAAAGGTTACTAAACTGTTAGGTGATATCTGTTCTCCTGATATCTATGTTATCCTGAGCATCCTTCCGTAGAACAACATTTCTGTTGCTTAAAAGTCTCTCCCTCGTTTTTGAGAAGATTGTCCAGCAATCACTGCCATAAGGCTCAGGATACCATAGACTGACCATTAATGGTGGTGTTTTAGAGTAAATGGAAACAAAAAGGAAACATCAGGAAGAGGTAGTTGAAATTTCTGGGGCACATAATGAGGAAGGAGGGCTTGGAAAATCTGATCCTCACAGGATACACTGAGAGACAGTGGAAAATGGTGCTTAAGTAAATGGATGGCAGAACAGGATTTAGGAGAAATATAATAACAGAAAGACAAAATTTATTAAGAACTACAAAGAACAGGTAATTGTGGAGAGCCATGATTGCCTACATCCTGAGGGGGAATGGCACATAAAGAAGAATTAAAACTGTAAATAGTTTCAATTTTTTCCCTCTTAAATTCAATTTTTTCCCTCTTTAATTAAAATTGTAAATGGTTTCAATTTTTTTTCCCTCTTTATTAAAATATATGAATTATTTCATACTACACTTTTAAATTATAAAGATGCAACATATGACTTCCAAGAATCCCACTTCTTTTAATCTTAACTTAGTTAAAGGCCGCCTGTGGTGGCATTTAATCTCACTTCATTTTTATTGAATTCATAATAATTTGTGAATAAATGAAGTGGGAGTAATCTAATATATATATTAGCAGCTTTTTTTTTTTTTTATCTATATAGGTAGAACAATACTTTCTTTTTAAAAACATTATTTTTACAATAGTTAATTTTAATTTCTGTTCCTATCCTCAAACACACAAACAAATCAAATCATTAGGTGGCGTAGTGAAGGCAAACCTTGCACTATTCTTATCATTAAGCTGCCAATGGTACTTGGGATGGCTTTATTCCTCAGGCTGAGGCGTTTTAGCATTGTTGTCGTAATGAAAATCTTATAATGAGGTACTGTTTTTGCTGTGTTATGGTAAAAAATGAATAAATGCCAACAGAAATTCGATCATTATAATATAGATTATACATTAAAATACATTTGAAACTTTAAGATAAAATGTCAGCATTTGGAGATTGTACCGACATCTCTCTCTCTTTTTACAACTGCATATATATTGTCTTTAATTATGGGAAATCAATCAGTCTATCCATTTTTGCTGTTTATGTTGTTCTCATGATTATTTTGTCTAATCTTTCATACTTACTGTCCTTATGGAAAGAGAGAATTTCCTTTCTTGTTTCCCCAAATAGTGCAAAGTGAAAGAAAAAGAAAACACCCCAGTAGCAAACGGAAGATTCAAGATATTCTCTACACTGTATGCAATACATAATTTATATCTGCAGATGTTCTCAATTCTATTCTGAAACAAAGAATATACTCTGTCCTTGCTGAGAAATGACACAGACTTTTTTGATATGCATCTCGTTGACATGCTACTGATTCTTTCGTTTTTTTTTATTTTTTTATTACTCTCTCTTAACATTTTGTGTTGTTCAAGCTTTATTCTACAGTGGCTGATACACATCCCATCTGCCTACAACTGCATGTTAAAAACAGTGAAACAAGTTTTCGTGAAACAAGCCTTATCCCTATTAAAGCTAAAATGTTGCTCTTAAATTGACACGGTCTGAGAGTGTAAACAATAAATATTTCTTATATTTTTGCATTTTCTAATTTTTTTTTTTTTTTATATTGACTTGTAGATGAAGATGGTGATTTGGCAGCACCTGAATTTGAGGGGATGTGGTATCGACAAGAATCAAATTTGAATTTAGAGACACTGAAAAATGTGCCAAAAGAGGGCAAACATAATCAAAGTAAAATGGAAAAGGTAAGATGCTTTTGTATTTCCATGGATCTACTGCCACGGATGGTTGTCTTCTCAGGCAATAAATTTCCATAAACATTCAGTATCTATTTAGCATTATGAATAATTTCCAAGCCTCTCTATTCGTCAATTACAATGTACTTTTGCTTAAGAGAGCACGATATCTAGTGTAACAGCGAAATTGTCCAATTCTTAGATTAAGCTTTGATCTGTTGTATCTTAGAAATGATTAAAGATATCTTAATGGAATTCTCAGAGTAATAAGAATGTATAATAATTCTTCAAGCTTAACAGAAGAATCATAATGAAATCTATCATAAACGAAAATATGTTCATCATTAATTAATCATAGCTAAGGATTGAAAGCTCATGAAGTATTGACATAAATATATATTCCAGGATCATTTTCTAATTTATTCAAGATGATCTTTACCCTCTAACCGTCTAACTTTCTAACCTGGAGTAACAAGGTGCTTTACAGATTTCACGTATGATTTCATTTCCAAATTTGTTTTTCACTGCCCTTTGAGCTGACATATGTGAAATTCCACTCTTATATTCCAAACGTCTTATGGATTAAGTTTCTAATTGATCTCTTTAGCTTTATGTTGAAATGATGATCCCTCTTCCTGTTGTGACCTCCTGAACCAGTTTTCCTCTTAACTGTTCCCTCTTTTTTTAAATTTATTCACCATTCTCTTGATCGTTCTTTTATGGACTTTGAAGATTGAAGACAGACTATGAACGCTGGTACCTTTTACTGAAGGTCTGAATGATCTTTTTCCTCTCACCATTACTCAGGTTGAAAGATAGTGGGCCTGACACAAAACAATTTTAATCTGTTCTTTTTTTTTAGCTGAATAACTCAAAGGGTTTTTCAATGATTCTTACAAAAAATGGTGATACAAATGTCTTATCTGAAAGCCTGAAAAAAAACAAACTCCATTACTTCAGCAGATTTTTAGATATTAAACATTTTGTGGGATGGACAATTATGCTGTAACATGATTTGGACAATTTTGCTGTTACACCCGGTATATATTGTTCTTGAGTCTCTTAGAAGATCCACTTTCCTTTGTAGATATTCTTCAATGAAGCTCGATAATTATTCTAAACACTCTATTTGCCAGGTTTTTTCTACCTAGGAGCAGACTATAGTATCTGCCTTTGTAAACAAGCCTACCAAGAAACCTATTTGCCCTGTCAGCATGGCTGAGAATATATACATATAGAGTTCTTGCAGACTTTAGAAGGGTGTCCTTACCAAAAAAAATAAAAGCAGCTACCATCAGCATAAGTGCCTGCAGTAAGAAATATAAATCTGACCAATCTTTAACTTTTGACTCAAGTATAGACTTAACATCCCAGTAGGATGTGCATTGTGACTGTAATGGAAGATATCAATTAGTTAGTATGAGAAATTGGATTTTGCATAGTAAAATTTTTTTCAGGTCAACTTTCATTCACTTACGCACAAATACCCCCTTAGGAAAGGTATGACTCCATCTCTTCTCCCCCCAGCTATGGGTTGAATAGCAGGACAGACTGTGTTCTATAGCCTTGGTTGGCAACCAGTCTACCACTGAAAGAAATGGCAACCTACTTCGGGAAAATCTTCTGCCTAGTCAGTTATGAATCAAAAGAGACATGATCACCCAAGCATGTATCATGTATGGCACTTAACTGACTGATAGACCCAACAGACAGAAATCTATACACTGGTCTATTCTTCTATACAGATGAAAGTCCCAAACCATTGAGTTGTGCCCGGGTGATTGTTTACCTACTGAGCCGAATTGTGCTCCGGCATAGTGTTTACCTACTGACCCGAGTCATGTCCAGGCAAGTGTTTTCCTACTGACCCGAGTTTCTCTCCAGTGAGTGTTTACATACTGACTCAAGTCATGCCCCTACAGAATTGAATATAAAAGTGGATTTTGTTATTAAATAACACAAACAATGATTATGTTACACAACCCACTAAACAAGCCAGTTGTAATTGAGAAACCTTTATAATATTAAGTGGAAAGGAATTCTTTTGAACACTATAATGGTAGAAGTATAGCACATTTCCTGTACAGTTTGCACATTTTCTTCCAATCCGGATCTTGTGCTATCTACCACAGACCCTGTACTGATCAGCTTAGAATGACTCTATCTGATACTTTTGGTATCTACTGAAGCACGAGGTCCATGATTACTGTGCCACCCTCTCTGCACTTATACCATGGACTGACACACTTTGTAATGAGATGCTAGCTGAGCATGCTCATGCAGTATCAGCTGTTGTGCCATCCTTGTCATCTAAAATAAAAACGGAAATTAGCAATGAAATTCTACCACAATCTATTACAATATATTTTGTTTTATGCAAATGTGGGAATGTTAACAAAAGTTATAAGTAATAAGGGAGTTTCTAAAACCCCATAGATCAACAGATTAAACGTAATAAATATGGCAACAAAGATAAGGACAATAGTCCAAATAATGTAAATAGGTGAAACTAAATAAAACACAAACTTTGGATAAAGGAATAATTTTGTCTTTTTATTTGAAACTTCTGACAAAAGTTAATTTTTCCATGATAGATACTTAAAAAAAAAAAAAAAAAAGAAAATGAAAGATTAAATTATTGATAATAATGTGATACTGTTTTCCTGTCTTTAAGATGTTAAAATGATATATGCTGAACGGGGAAGCTAAAGGTAGGTGTATGATTATGCTGGAAATTGAGAGGCTCTACCCAGCAACATCACCTGGCATAATGTAACATCCCTCCATCAGAGTATAGCAATAATTGAATTCTGATAAAATGAGGTATTCACCCCTCCAGAAATCAGACAAAAAAGAAATCACCAGACATGAGAAAATGGCAAAGCCAATTTTAAATTCCGATCATGTTTGTTGTGTTCACTTTGCATGAATCTATTTTAGTACTTACCTCCCCACAGTGGTAGAATGTGACACATGGCCAGCTTAACATAAGGTACCTATACTTTTAGTTATTGGCCAAGAACAAAAATGGCCTCTTCCTCATTCTGGTGTTAGTATGCTCCTCCTCTTAGTACAATGTGGAAGTTACTATTCCACAGAATAGAACCACCTGAAAATAGAAACACAGTGGTAGAGAACAGATTATACTTTGATCTGTTCCAAGTTCAGTTTAACCTTTGCAACTGTGCTCTAACTTTCAGAGTTGTAAACCCTGGATCCATATTAATTTTTCAGTGTGGTAATTTTTTTGAATGGTGGGAACTGTAGTATTGCTTGTTGCAGCTCTATACTCTGTGAGTAGTCTACAGGTTCGGAGAGAAGGATAAAAAAATCTGGATAAAGAGGAAAATTGCATATCAATATATATTCAAATTTTATATTGAGGATTATCAAAAAACGTGAAAATTTTGTCAATATATTAAAAAAAATTCTTTACACTATTTATAATGTTCAGACTGTTGTCCCCACCTTTGTTGCCATATTCACAATGTTTCAATCACCTGAAGAAGGTGGAAGCGTACAACTGTCAAAATATCATGAATATGTCAATGGAAGATGAGGAGAACAGTCCAAATAGAGTAAATAAATAAAATACCTCATCTCAAAAAATATAGAAAGATAAAAAAAAAAAAGTCTCTTGATTGATTTTTTGATAACTAGAAACAGTCATTTCAAAATGAAATCAAAAGTTTATTGATTTGTCATGTGGACAAAAGGAAAATAAAACAATCCCAATAAAAAAAATTTTAATTTTTTTTTTTTTCTCTGAACAAACTTAACACCAACAAATGACAGACCTCATTTCATAAACTTTAATTTGTCCAATCCGATAAAAAAAAAAATTTTTAATGATATGGTTTTTCATAAAAACTCAAAATTTCTCCTTTCCTTTTCTTTTGCTTTCATTTTTAAACTGACAAGTGGGTGTGATTGGTTTATTACCTTTCAAAGTTTTGAATGTCAGAAAGCAGACACTTTGTCTTTCTTGTTTTGGCTACCACATGTTTAAAAGGTCATTTGTCCTGCACCTTATGCCTGGCTTCATCAGAAATGGCTTGTCTCCAGACAATACCAATCTCCAGCATCTTTTCAGACAATTTCTAAATACAGAGCCTCTCAAGAGAACTGGCCCTCCTCAACTGACAACAGAATGGAAATGATAAAGAGACATGATTTGTGTGGCCAAGAAACCTAAGCACGTTTTATGTGGCAACAACAGACCAGACCTTATGTGCATTGGTCATTGGTCAATAGATAGGCAAGCGCTGCAGCAGGGCGGACATTAATGTGCACTATATTTAGCTCCAGTGAACTTTAGAGCCTTGTGAATTCCAATCGGTTCTCTGTTATTACTGGTACACATGGGACGGGAGGGACGGAGTAATAACTTTTTGTTTGGTTTACAAGTTTGGGAGAGGCAACAAAAGAACAACTGAAGGTGCTAAGATGGATATTTTTGCCTTGGATAATTCCAGATAGACTACTGTAAATCACTAATCTCCTTTGGCTTTAATAAAGAGTCTTGTCAAATGAAAATAGTGGTATAAAAATATTCAAACACACACACACACACACACACACACACACACTTGTATATGTTCCGAGGTCGAAGTGGAGGTTGATTGATAAATGTGTGTTCTTCACATAAGCTGTAGGCATTAAGCTGTTAATTTACATTGTTCCATTTTTGGGATGGTGGGCATTAATGGTTTATAAAGAGAAAGCGATAATATCAGATTTTTATAAACTTATGATTAATGCTAGAGTTTTCTTTTTGTGTCTGCCATCACCACAGGGTCATTTGCGTATCTTATATTAAGATTTTAACTGGGATCAAATACAGATTTTTGGAATCTGACAGAATGATAAAGAACAAATAGGAACCATTTTCAATCTAACATTTTAAATTGATAAACTGTTCATATTTGTTTATCCTATCATTGTTAAGATTGTGTTTACCAACAATAAATCACTGATTTTTTTTTTTTTTTTTTTATATATAAATCTAT